CCTCCCACATAGCTTCCCACATCAGTCTAATGGTCCTGAGTGTCCCCTCTCTCACAGGTTGGCAATACTAGCAAGGTGAATTGTATGAAAAAGAGCCAGTGTGGAAGAGACAGAATGAGACTGAGAGAATAAAGGATCAATCCAGACCATGTGCTGTCCTGGACCAGCATAGATTTGTACCAGCTGTGAGTCTGGGACATCAGCCTCCCTGATGCATAAGGATTAATTTAAACCAAGCCCATGTCCCATCACTATGATAGTACAGCACTGATTTACACCAGCCAAAGATCTGTTTCAAATTCTTACTTGGAGTCTTTTGCGGTTTGATCTTGGTTTGGAAAACAGTAATCAGCCAGCTCCCTGCATGACTGCTAGTCCTGAGCTGGCTACCCCTCTATCACCAAGGCAGTCAGAAAACTCCTATCTGACAATTCCTGTGGGGACTGAATCTTGCAGGTGCTTTGCTCAGCCACATTTTGGGAAGAAAGCAAACCAACCCGTCATCTGACTTTCAGAAGGCCTTCAAATATCCAAGGATGGTATTGGAGGTAGTCATCTGAACTGAGAATCTAGTATTAATTTTTCCACTAATGCTAATGTCCATCAGTATCACTGTCACAGGAACCACCCTCTTTTCTGACACATCAGTTGACTGTGGACGTTGCAGGAGGATTGCCTCTGGCTCAAAGTCTCTCTTGTGCTAAATGCAGCACCTTCCTCTATGGGAGCACATTGCTGTTTAGGTATGACGTTTTCCAAGCCCGCAGGAACTACTGACCTTTCTCCCATCTGTCCTCATTCTTGCTTACGTTTGCTGGCCATCCACTGAACAAGTGACTGGCACTGACCTTCACAACAGATGTCAGGACAGATAACGTGGCCAAGGAGAAAAGACCGGGAGAATGTTGCTAGAGTTTTCCTTCCAACATCCAGGTGCTACTGTGATGAAGACATCAAAAATGCCAATAGATAGCTAGATGAGATGGATTTTCTGTAATCTCAGATTCATCATATTTTACCTGTTACTCACAATAGCAAGCAGTGAACTAACAAGAGGTCTGTGTGAGCTGGAAGAGCATTCTTGTCTACAGAGAGTGCTGTAGCTCATACTAATTAGGTGGTGCACAGCTGGAGAGGTGTGCTCTGACCCAAGCAATCTGTAGGCACAGCTTTCAGCTTTTCTTATCTGCAAAGAGCCTATCACCACCAAAACAGCAGCACTGTATAAAAGCAATGAACAGAAATGTCAGTGGAAGTGAGGAGGTGGAAGGGGAGGTGAACTGTCCCCTGCCATCCCAAAAGGGCATGAGCTTGATTCTCAGAGGAAAGCAAAAGTGGCAATAATCTCTGGAGAGATGCTCTTCAGACACTTGGGAGAATCAAGCTCAGCGGAATCCAGTGTGGGAAATGTATTCTGCTTCTGATTGATAAATAGCCTGCTCCCACACCACCTGGGGAAGGAGGCCATTGTAAAGCAGTAGGCTGAAGCCTTCTTGAAAACCAGCTGCCTTGTCCGAAGAATAACAATTGTCTCCATGTCTAGGACAGAGAGACCTACTTCTCTTTTTCCCTTAAACAAGCATTCATTAGACCTCGGTTCTTCTGTCTCAAAGCTCAGCAGAGAAGTACAGACTAAACCTAACACGAGGCCCTCCTGTCCCACTGCAGAGCTTGGAGAGTTCTGAAACCACCTGCTGTGAAGTGCTTGGGCAAATACACTGAGGACTTTGCCTTGGTCTTGAACTCTCCTTCAGGCATTTGCGACAGCTGGAGACAGTGCCCATGGCTCGGTAGACTACCAGAGGCAGTTGTACATTCCTATCCTGTGATCTCCTGCTGTGGCCATTTGAGGGCTGCCTGAGTGCTTGCAAGAAGGGTAGCAGCTGGCACGTGGGAGATGCCTCCTCTCCGTACTTGCATCAGGAAACACCAAGCACCACCCAGCAAGTTATGTGCCGCAGGCATGCCCTCAGCAACACCTGCACATGCTGCTTTGTTTGGACTCAACCGCCTCAGACACAGACCACCTCAATTTGTCATTGTCACCCACAATCATTTTGTTCACTGACACCAAACAAGCTTAATGGAAAAATAAAGCTATGGTTTATTTAGCAAGACTTAAGGGCACTCTTCTAGTTATAACTTTGGAAAAAAAAGTTCCAGGTAAAACAAATATAAAACTCAACCTCAGCCTGTATGTAACAACTGTAGCCCTTTCTGGTTGCTTAACCTCTCATACTCTGGAGTCCTGAGACAAACCACAGCCAGCAGTCCTGATGCTTTTCAGATCCCACTGCAAAACCCTACAGCTGTGGTCTTCTCAAGCCAATTTGCAGCACCAGTGAGCAGTGCTTTGCCTGGATCCTGCTACTACGTATTACTGCCTCTATTTTTTCCCCAAGGTGTCCCCATTCCCCTCTTTTTATTTCTTTTCTTCTCCTCCTCCCCAAAAAGCAAGTATTGATGGTGATCCTTTTTCTACTTCCATACTGGGGCTTACCAGCTTTATTCTAACATGCTATAACCCATTCTTGTTTTCCAACTTTTACTTCCATCACAACCTAAAAGATTTTGGCATTCACTTATACAATTTCCTGATTACCTCAATAATCTGAAGATTAGCTGAGTAACAGAATATAGTTACAACAGAGCATTGCCCTATTCTGTAAATGAAACTGTATAAAAAAACATTAGCTGTATAGCTGTTTTATGAGCTCATGATCTTTTGTAAGTCATTAGCTTTCTGTCTCATATGATATATGAGGACATGTTAATAACGGACACAACTGAGCCAGGAACAAGTTCTTTTGGGCAAGCTACAAAAGCAAGTTTTCCCTTCCCAGGTTTGGCAAGGGCTCAGTGTGACATTCGGTCCAACTGGCTGCCCCAAGGCAGAAGTGATCAATTACTCCTACAGCTGCCAATGGCTGTGGAAGGCTGTGCTGGAAGTAAAGTCCCTCTTCTTTGTAGCTGGGTTTGTGAATATCTTCTTTTAGTGGGCTCCTGTTGCCTGTGGCTTGCCTATTTCAGCCCTGAGTGAACTATAATGGCTTTTCTTCTTTACATGATATGGGCAAACATACAGACAAGCAGAGGCTGAATGAACAGACCGTCATCTTTGACAGCATGCCTTTTCCTTCCCAGACATTTTGCCTTGCTCATCTCATGTCCCAGTCCTCAGGAAGGATCAAGTAGACTCCTTACCAGGTGCTGTCACTTTGTAGCATGACCATTTGTACTAGCACCCCACTCATGATACCTGTGCTCTGGTTCTTGCATCTTTGTGTGCCTCCACTAATGTAGTATTAAGTCTTAGAAGTGTCCATTGGAGCCGTCAGCTACTGACAGACACGAGAGAAGAATTCTTCAATTAGCAATTCCCTCACAAACCTTCCCATTTGCCTTTTCTCAGACTTGACAGTGCCTAAACATGACACCTAATTCAGACTTCCAGTATCCAGCTGGTCTCTTCTGCTGCAAGCAAAGAATTTCTTCTGCATCTTCATTCAGGATTTGCCTGCCCTAACTGACCAATGGGAGCCAACTGGAAGAGACAGGGTGTCTTCAGAAAGGGATTAATCTCATCGTAAGCCTTATGTCAGAGTTGTTCTCTGATGGTGCCTATACCTGTTCACTGGCCATAAACACTTATTTCTCGTGTTTCTATCCTGGGGCAGAACCACATATCCTCTCAAGAGCCAGTCCCAAGCCCTAGATATGCAAAAGCACTTTCCTCTTCCAGACAACTCACCTCAGGTACCGTTCTCCAACCCAGCATTTGATTTCACAGGTATAACTCTCTGGCTTACAAAATTACAGGGTTCACTGGCCTCTGAGTGAAAATTGGAGAGCAAAGAAATCCTTCTTAGTTCTCAGGGAAATTATTTTGTTCCCAGCAGCAGGGGAGGCTTCCAGAGAACACGGTCACCTGGTCCTGTCTCCATAGGGTGATGCACATTACAGCAAAACCCTTCTAACAGTCACCGCAATGAGGCAATGGAAACCAAAGTCACTACCCTCAATATTGGGCCCGTTCAACAAAGAGCAGAGCACGTCAAGTCCCGCAGATTGTGGAGCAGTCTGAGCTCCTGCTAGCTTCTTTCAGAAGCTTCCCCAACAGGGACGTGATTAGCAAAACCTCCCCTGATCGCTGGGTGACACAGGTCAGGAAATGTCACCCAGAAACTTCTACGTGAAGCTGAATAGCTTGTGACTGAATGAGGGCATATCTTTGAGGCACACATCCAGTTGCAACTGAGACATGGCAAGTGATGGCAAGTCTACCACATCCCACTTAACAAAGGTGGTCAGCAACCATTGAGACATTGTTTTGACAATTATCAGTATATGAAACATTAAATAAATCAGAACAATATCTTTACCTAAGAGGCTGGCACCCTTGTGCCAGTGGGGGAATCAAGGCAAAGAGCAGTCAAATGATTTGGCCAAATTCACCTAGCCAGCAGAAGCTGGAAGAAAAATTGCGTGTCTCAATTCCCAGGCCAGTGCTCCTGGAGGACCTCAGACCAGTGTCTTTAAGCTCCTGGGATACCCACTAGGTCACCTTCCACACCTTCCTCTCGGCACAGGCCTATAGTTCACCTGAATGAATAAGGTGGCCCCAGTTATGTGGATTTCTTCTCAGCTGCTGTGTGCAGAGAACCCAATTATGCTTTGTAGCATGTGTGTTTCGTTGGAAATACACAATGTTCTAAGCTTAATACAAGCGTTTTGGTATTAGCTGAATTTATACCTCACTGATTCTGAATTTTTAAAATGCCTAGAGACAACAGCCGCACTGTTCAGCAAAAACCTTAAAGACTCATCACCACTGATCCTTGCACTCCTCTGCTCTATCTGATTGCCTTTTAAAGTCATTTATTATCCTAATTTTAGGTTTACAGAATCCACTATTGTAAAGTGTGATGTTCTGCTGACTTCTAACATACTACTGGTACAACCACCTCTGAAGAGAGAGAAAGCAGGAAAGCGGCACTTACCTGGGTTACTTTTGGAGGTGCGCACAGGGGTGTAATGGTTTTTGGAAGATGTCCTGACTGGGGTGTTTTCTTTGGGGGAGGTATCTATGGCCGAGATAGTCTCTCTTTCACAGTGTGCAATTGGGATTGGTCCCTGCTGCCTTAAGATGTCAGCCAGAGCCCTGGGAAGAGAGAAATAAGGAAAAAACGTATTTTCACACAGTAGCTAGAATGGCATTCAGTATTTTCACTTCCACAGTCACTGTGCGAATCCGGCAGTAGTTGGATTGCTACCATAAACAGAAAAAAGCAACAATAACAACAACAAAAAAAAAAAGGCTTAAAAGCTCAGTTTCTTTTTGTGTGTTTGCTGCATGTATTTACAGGCTTGCCTGGCTATTATTTAGTTTTTCATATGCTTCCACTAATTCACTTCACCCCAGGGTTATGTTATCTCTCCATCATTTTCCTTGCTGTCAGTGACAGTGCAGATGAACTGTTCTCCATAGCATAAAGCACTGCCTTCATAAAGACTCACCACTGAACACGCCAGAGCCCTAAGACTCAGACATTGTGATCTTCTGAAGATTACACCAAAACTACCTTGCCGAAGCCAAACTTCTTTAAGATTGACTCAGATTAGGAGTCTGGTCCCCACACTCCTTAAATCCTTGTTTTTTCTGCAAGAAGCTCAATACACATCAGTGGTGGGAGTGGGTTTCTTAAAAGAGAACCAGCAGAGCAGAAGAAAAGGATTAAACAATTTTCATGGGTTAATGTCAACACAGCCATTAGCCTACCTTTAGCTTTTTGTCCATTAGAGATTTCTTTAATGGTACTGAGGTCTCTCTGCTATTCCCCAAGAAAAAGAAATTTCACACAGTTCAGTTGCATCCAATGTTTTCCCCTTGGATGAATGGATACTCAAAGATTTTTTTCCTCTGTGAATATCATAGACACAGTGGAACAATTATAGCATGAAATGCACTGATTTTCTTAGTGTAGCCACAAGCCGTCTCTTGACCCATAGGAAAAGGAGGAAGGGGGTGGCTTGTGTGGATTTTAAGGGACAGTGGCATTTTAAAGATGATAGACTTTGAAAGGTTCTTCTCCCTTGGCAGAGGGAACATGCCTAATGTCACCTCGGGTACCAAGAAAGATGTAAGGAGGAGAAATTCCTTCATTGCGTATTGATGAGAATGATGCTGGTGTTGCTCATGTCTACTAGTATTCCTTAAATGCCATATTTCTGGTCTTTCATATGAGAAATAGTTTGGGACATGCGTCTCTTCCATTTTCCAAATCATTTCCTCTACAGACTGCTATCTTTGTGCATAATGAATTGCAACACTAATGTGCTCTACAAAATAAACTCTTGGAATATCTCAGAGGCTCCAGAAGAGGATTACATTAGTTCACAACCACCCTGTACAGAATAAGAATATTTTTAACCTTATTTGATTATTTATTGTTTGTAGAGAAAACAGGCATAGAGGCTATAAACAATCATATGACATGCATATGTGCACACATACTGACACATATGGAGTAAAAGGGTTCTCGCAGGGACATGAAAGCACAGATTTTTAATTTTTATTGTGCTTAGGTAGGCTCAGAGAGAGGTGAAGGTGGCAGCAATAAGAGATAGATACTTAGCCCTGTCCCAAGTCAGGGCTTCTTTTGTTTGCTCCTATGGTTATTCCTCACTGAAGAAGAGGAATTGGTATTTGGTGTTCTCCAAAAGATGCTGAATTCCCATTGATTGACACAGATCTGTGGGTGCTCACCGTCTTTTACAATCATGCCTGAGGTATCTCAGACTGGTCACCAACTTACAGGACATGTTTGAAATTTTGGCCCCTTGCCCAAGGTTGTACAGAACATGAGTGGCAGAACAAAGACCTGAAGCTGCAGCCTGAGGAACCTGCCCTATGCAATACTGCACGGTTCCCTCCTGAGGCGAGGATTCACTCAACCATCAGTAATCCTGATGGCTTTTCTAGGCAAATACCTCCCCACTGCATTACAGATCTTGCTGATTGGGGAGGATGTGGGAAGCTAATGAGGTTTGTCTATTTGGCACAAGCATCCAGTACACCCCGTTGGAGACAACACATTTTCTAAAGACAGCAGGTTGTCAGAACTGAGCCCTTAGTACGTATCTCCAAGATATATTAAGCATCAGATGACCATTTAATGGTATCTGCAGTACAGAAATGCTAGGAGTCATTTTTCAATCACAGAGATTGTATTAGGACCATTATTTACTAGCCCATAGTGGCTTGGGCTCAATTTGAACACTTGTAAAAGACACTCTTAGTGTCAAGAGTGCAATCACTCAGAGTACAGAGGAAGATGACAGCATGGATAACACTAAAACACTATATACCACTTAATATAACAGAGCCAGCTGGGTAGGAAAGGTCAGGTCGGGGACTGGTGTACACTCAGAAGGGGCTGTGTGGGATGAGGTACACAGAGGCAGTACAAGAAACTCAAAGATGAGGAAGTGGAGCTGGTGGGATGGAAATGGAAGAGTACAAACCAGTTCTTCCTGGAGCTGAGTTTGTTTAACCTGGCAAAGAGAGGCTAAGAGAGGACCTACATCCCATTAATGGGGAGCTGCAAAGGAGACAAAGCAAGGCCGTTCTTTGAGGTGTAAGGCAAAGAAGACAAGAGGCAATTAGCACATGTTGCAATAAGGGCAATTCCACTTGGTTATAAAAGAAAAAAAAGTCACAGTGGGATAGCAAAACACTGAAACAGGGACCCAGAGAGGCTGAGGGATTTCCATCCTTGGAGGTCCTCAAATTCAGCTGGATAAGGCCCTGAACAACCTCCTCTACCATTGAAGTTGGCCTTGCTTTAAGTAGATGGCAGGACAAGGGACCTCCAGAGGTCCCTTCCAACCTAAATTCTGCTACGATTCCGAGTCTAGGATGACCTTATGCTGCAGGTCACCTTGTTTCTTCTGATACTGTTGTCCTTTCTCCTACTATTATTACTCTCTGAATGGGGTTTGATACAGTTCTGAGAACATAGCTCTCCTACCTCCTAGATGGACAGTTTACCTCCATTCACTAAAAATAATTGAGGCAATTAAAGTGAATACACTCTGGAACAATGTGAGAAGTGCCTCATCCTCTCAGTCATTATCTACCTGAGAGCCGAACCTTGAGCCTGCTGCCCTCCATGAGGACAAAACCACTATAACCAGGATAATAATTCAGTTTTTGAACAGTTTCTCATAAAACTATGTTTGGTTGTTCCTTATTTACAGCCAGGACCTGAACTCACTGATCCTTACCACAAAAAAAAAAATACAACTCAGATGATAAGAACAAATTTAATCCCTTCTTTGTTTTTTCATCCTGAAGGAATAGTAATAACAGCTCTGGGTTAGCTGTTGGTCACAACGTAACAAGGAAGTGATTTCTAGTCGGATGCCAGCCACATGGAAGGGAGGAGGATGTTACTCTCAGATGAACTGAAGAAAACACAGGTGATACTCAGGAAAGCGATGTCTGCCGTGTCAGACTATACGTGGGATAAATTGAACATAACTATCAAAAGCAGACCTAGTTCATAAGTGTATGGGACTAAAACAATGTGGGTTCAGCAGTGCTTGAGGTTTAATCTTCTTATGCCCTAAACACACCAAACCATGTCCTGAGTGCTCACTCTTTGTCCTCTTCTTTAATGTCTACAGAGAGAAAAAAGACTGTTCAGCGCCAGCAGAACAAAACATTATAGGTGGAGGAGAAAGTCAAACTTGGATCAAACTAGCTGGTTCCTTGCCAATTCAATCATATCACTGTGTGTGATCCAGTTTATTTCCATAAAGCACAGAGGGCTGAGTCCCACGCTGGTGGAAGGTCAGACATACGTAACTGAGGAACGATTTGATTGGTATAAGTCTCTCGGGTTCAGCTGTCTAATTGTCCACTGCAAAATCTTCAAGCAGGATAACAGAGTCACTTGAAATATTTGGGTCTTGCATGTGCAGCCATTTGGGTACAATTAGTCCCACTGATGTCAACAGCATCCTAATCACCTGCACAAGGCTATGAGACACTTCAGAAATCTTTCTATGACGACACATCTCTTATCTCAGGAAAACAAACCTCACTCGCTGGAACGTGTTACGTGTGGCAGTGGATGGAGTAGCCAGAGTTGCGTTAACTGTACAATAATATCCTGAGATAATGATTTATAACAGCTTTTTCATTAACGTCATTTGTGTGAGAACACTAAAGCTGCTTTCCACGTAAACCCAGAATAGACATACTGACATCAGGGATGTTGGCCCAGACCAGTGCTGGACTAGCAGCGTGGGAGAAAAACCTATCGATGTCTTGCATGGCAGGACATGCCAAGGCAGAGCAGGTCAGGTCCTGCTCTCAGGTATGTCAGCAGGGAAGGCTTTCATGTAACTCTGGACTAACTGAGTACTTAGGGAAGAAACACAGTGGGATGAACACAGGGACCCTCATGCAAAGAAGCAGTTGTAGCCATTTTCAAAAGGGGAAAAAAAAGAAGGTTTTGTTGGAAATACAAAGGGCCGAAAGGGATGGGTGTAAGCAGTAGGGTAGCAAGGCTGGGCATCAGCTGGGGCCCTGAGGTTGGAAGATGAAATCAACAGACTTTGCTACAGAGGAAAGAGAGTGAAGACAAGGCAAGCTGGGAGAGGGGCAGAGGCAGGGACTGACAGAAAATCAAAACAGAACAAGGAGGAAGTGAGCAGAGCAGTATAAAATGGAGGAAACAGACAGGAACAGACTGCAGTAAAGACCAGGCAGGGTGTGAGGTCCAGCAGATATGTGGAGGGTATTCATCTCTCAGTCCTAGCATGGAGATGTGGGAGGGGAGAGAGGAGCCCACATTATCTTTGTGTAATAAGGAAGTAAATCATCAGTAATGATTTTTCAGGCTTGAGGGAGGTGATCCTTCCTCTCTACGTATCACTAGTGAGACACATCTGGAGTGCTGTGTCCAGTGCTGGGATCCTCATGCACATCATGGAGTGGGTCCAAGGAAGAGTCACAAAAGTGCTTTAAGGGCTTAGAGCATCTCATATATGGGGGAGAGGCTGAGACAGCTGGGACTGTTCAACCTAGAGAACAAAAAGCTCATGGGGATCTTATCAATGTGTAGCAATAACTGATGGGAGGGTGTAAAGCAG